GCTTTGGCCTATTCACTCAATAAGCGGAAGCCGCTGCAAAACATCAACATGAAAAGAATATTACAATTTCACTTGTAATTATGATAGTATTTAGCCTAAGTTTCCTGATTAGTAAAATATGAATTATGCAAATGAGTAATTAGCATATCACACACGTACGAAAAACTAATAACCTCATTCTTCTTATACCATCTTGAATTATCCCAAGTTTGAAATTAATCGGATTTACCTAACTTTAGTTATCGTAGTAACAAACAAAGGCCAAACAGTGACAACGACGACGATAACGACGAAAGATGAAGATATCTTAGGCAAAAACAATAGCCTCCCGGGGCTTTGTTCCTTTGGGGAGACTAATAAACTCACTGAATAATAAGTATGATCGCCTTAACAACATATTAACAAAATACCTCCAATGTAAATTATAAATTTTTAAAGATTTTTAGCGAAGTTTATAGATGCTATGAAAATGACGCCCTACATTTTACGACGAACCTGTGGATGGGAAAACAGTGGTGGATCTAGGGGGTGAATAGGGTGGCTAGCCACCCCCTTCGTTTACCGTGAAAAATAAAATAATGGTCGCTCGTCTTGTTTGTGCGATTCTCGTGTACTCTGGAAAAACATACACTTTCTATTTTAAGCTTAGGCCTACTTCTTTTTAGATGCCACCTAAGATCGTCTAGCAGTCTACTAATTCCAAAAAAAATCTCAAATGTGAGGCGATGCCCTTCCCAAAACCAACCGCCCCTCCACCTCCCCCCTCGTGCCTTCTCACCTCCTATTATCCACCCCCTTGCTAAATCCTAGATCTGCCACTGGAAAAATCCAATGGCGTAGGTATGGACAGGGGCCCAGGGCCACATTTCGGGCCTGTTCAGTAGACCTATAGATCTAGAAATAGAAAAAATCCTACTTAAGAACCCCTCAATAATATTAGGTTTTGGTGGCCATAATTATTGATTATGTTCTTTTCAATTTACCTATTACGTGCAGTGGTGGATACAGGAATTGAAAATAGAGGGGCCAGGGAAGGACCACAGATGGGGGTCTATACAACCTCATGGTTTGGAGTTACAAAAAAATGATCATGGATTTTTATAGCCTGCTTGCAAACCCCTGCTTCAATTATACTGAAAGCAGGATGACCTTATTCGTGCCTTTTGAATTTACTCAAGGCTATTTTCTTTCATTCAGGTGTGTTTATGCTTTGTATCACAGTACGATGCAGTAAAATACATTTTAAAAGCATTTCTGAAGCAATTGAAAAATCAGCATGACGGATGTTTTTGTTTGATATTTAACGTTTGTTCAATTGTTCATGTTTTTAATCATACATACTGCTTATAAGACACTAAAAAGTAGAACATATAAATTAACCCTGGATTCACATTTGCGAGATGGTCAGAAAAAAACTCTGTATTAAAGGTTCCCAGCAAATGTCTTGCGCCACCTTGCTACACAACTGCCAAAAGCGCAAATTCTTACCTGCAAAAGCAATTGATATTATGGTATTTAACTCAGCTTTCGGAGCCCAGTTTTGCAGTAAGATGACAGTTGCAGGTATTACATTTCCCTGCGAAATAGGAAAAGATTTGGTTATTTAGGACCTTTATTATTGAATAATGACTTTAATCCGTTTGCCCAGTGTAAACAATTGGCTCATGTGAGAGTAGGGGCTACCCCCGTGTACTATTGTGTACATACGTGAGCATGCTTGCACCGGTTTACCGCCAGGAGAATAAAGTTGCAGTGCTATTCCACGCCGCGAGCCCAATGAGACTTTGGTATAAACCGCTAAAACTATATTATTACTTATATAAGTATACGAAAACATAATGTACCGCCATTAGCATGGAAAATTAATATAATGTAATAATAAGTGAATAATTTTTTGTTTGATCAAGGAAATTTATTTTTTACAGTAACAACTGTCATTGTCCTAGACGTAGTATTAGCACATTTCTGAATGCGCCACCAGCGTCAGTTTATGTTGAGAAACTTTTTTGATGAGAATTAGAATTCCTAATCCCAGAAAAAGTATACAATGGAACGCCTGCAAATAAGTAATATGGAACGCCATCAGACCAGCATCGCATTGTGATCGGCTGTAGCAATTGCGACACCCAATCGCAAAGTAAAATCGTGTGTGAAAGCTCACCAATAGTAGTCGATATGTAATCGATATCGCAATTGTTACCCGTTGCAATTGGGTGCTACAATCTTTATTACTCCCGATTACCACGGAATCCGATCGCAACGAATTCCACAGGCACTGTTTGGCTGAGGTCAGGCAACATAGGCCTAGACACCGGAGGCCTAGGCCCTAGAATGTAAAGTTTGTGTTGGTCTGAATGCGTTCGTCGATTGCGATCGGGAGTAATCGGTTTTGGATTACCACCGATTACATCGCAACCGATCGCTACAGAGTGTATTCTGAATAGGGTATTATACCCTATTCAGACTACACTCTCTTGCAAACTTTACATTCTAGGGCCTAGGCCTCCAGTGTCTAGGCCTATGTTGCCTGACCTCAGCCAAACAGTGCCTGTGGAATTCGTTGTGATTCGTTGCGATCAGATTCCGTGGTAATCGGGAGTAATAAAGATTGTAGCACCCAATCGCAACGGGTAACAATTGCGATATCGATTACATATCGACTACTATTGATGAGCTTTCACACACGATTTTACTTTGCGATTGTGTGCGATTGGGTGTCGCAATTGCTACAACCGATCGCAATGCGATGCTAGTCTGAATGGGGTATTAGACAAAGATTAGGGACTGGAACCCAGTCTATCATTGTCCCTACTACACCCATAAACACAGTCAGAATAAAGAGGGAGCTTTCGATTGCACGACGACGGTACGCGATTTTTTTTTCCGTACGAAACATTTGCATGAAACTTCACTCGGTCCATCTCGGATTGACTCGAGTGAGTACGTTACGAGGAACAAGAGCAGACACTTCGCAATGTCGTGACGCTCGAGTTTTACTATTATTGCTGTTTCTATGTTTACCTACGGTAGGCCTATGAAATTTCACTGACTTATGTGATGTACGTCACTGTGTAACCAGGGAGATGTATTTTTTACATCTCCCTGGTGTAACTAACTGTGACTGTGTAACTAACTGTGACAGCTTCTTGGATGTTATTAAATGTTAGTATATTATCTACAACAACAACAGCTAGTACCTCCTGTTATAAAGTGTAGATAGGTACAGTTATACCAAAGGCTAGAGAGAGAGAGACGATAGGCCTAACTACAGGCTGAGGTCTTACCTAGGCCCCTCCTTAAACTAGGCCTAGGGTCATAGGCTGACACAACAGTCACGCTTCACATACTGACATGGACTGAAATTTTTTGGGGAAAATGGGACAAAATTGAAGCATGAAATGAAAAATAGAGCGCATAAGAGAAATATTATTAAATAAATAATATACCATTCCGGTGTTATTGAACTTGTCCAAACTATCATTGTAAGTAATGTAATTAATGTAAAAAAAAAATAATAATAATAATAATAATAATTTCAGCATTAATTACCTTTGGCCTAAGCCTTGTAATGAAGAACCTACAGATACTGTACTATTTACTAGGCCTAACAAATAATAATCGCCCAAGGGGAATATCTTTTGTGTTATTTCCCCTTAACGTCGTTTTTTTAATTGTTCTCTAATTCCTCCATTGTCTAAGTTCCCCTTAAGGTACAGGTAATAATAATAATAAATAATAATAATAATCATTTCAGCATTAATACCTTGGCCTAAGGCTTGTAATGAAGAACATACAGATACTATTTACTAGGCCTATAAATAATAACTAGCCCAAGGGGAATATCTTTTGTGTTATTTCCCCTTAACGTC